AATTCTTAAGCATGTATTACTAAATAAACACATGAAAATAAGGCCTGGGTGTACTGTTCCACCCCACTCTACTTGTAGTCGACTGAGGACCTCTAGTGCTATTTAACATGTACTCCACCTTCAAATCTTTCCCAAAAACAGAACACCAATTCCTCTCATTTATGAAAAGTGGACAACCAAAGGCTTCACAAATTCCACAAGGAATAGTAAAGTTGCTCTTGCCATCCCTCTAAAAATTAGAATAATCATAGGTCCCACAGAAATACAAGACACTCTGTGAGTACTTTTCTGCTTCTTAACATCCAACTCAAGAAACAAGCACGTTTAACAGGCCATTCATTTTCCCTTAAAAATTCCCCAAAACACTCATTTCCCACGCATCCACTTCCCCTCCCAAAAAGTATCTTAAGTGTCAACTACTACAGGGCTAAAAAAATATTTTAATTGCAAATAACTTCATTCTAGCATGATGAACAGATAATGAAGACAAGCCTGCCTGCAGACAAAAGAGAAGGACCTCTCTATTCTGTTCTTGGATGAATTCTCAAGGCAGAGCTTTCAAGTGAGAGAAACAACTCATTCTGGGGTAAAAGTAGGAGTTGAAAACACATTGATTTTTACGTTTATTCAATTCTTCTCAAAACTAGGCAGAAGCAGCTTGAAGATTCTTTCAAATAGTCAGTGTGAACCAACAAAGCTCTGGAATGCTGTTGCCACAAAGTAACTTCAAACAGAAATTTCAAGTTTAGTATTAAGCAGTCTCCAAAGGAAAATGACTTAATGAAAGTGAATTTTTGGATTCCAACAGATTGATAATTCTAATGATTGTTCTGATTTACTTTAACAAGTCAAAAAAAAAAAAAGATCCATAAACAATCATTTCTGGATTATCTGCAAACATGACAGTGAATAATAGGAAACAATAAAACCCCAAACAATCCTAATATAGGTAAAACCCATAAATCCAACACTATAAAGAATTTTAATCTTGTGAACCAACTAAATGGGGGAAAAGTCTAAAAAGTATCTTCCAGACTGGTTTTATGTGTATTACTTTAATTTAGCAGAAAAATATTTGCACATTCACTAAAATAATGCTCTGACAGAAAAAAAAGGGAAGAAAAATTCTGAATTCCACAAAGAACTCATGAATTTAGGAATTTATGATTTAAATACCCCCAAAAAACTATAGTTCCAAAAGTTTTGCAAAGCACTAAAAGTGCTTGAATTACAGGTGAAGACTGTTGCTCAGCATATACAACATTATTACAGTATCAACTGCCTAGCAAATCATAAAGCACGCCACCAAAAGTTTACTAAGGTGCCTCTTGCACAAGAATACATCTGATGTTACCTTAAGATATAGGACTCACTGTGGGGAAAGAGAATTCCTGCAGAATGGGATATGCTAGTACCTTTTATATAAAATGTTACCTAATATGGCATGTAATATTTGATGAAGGATTAGAATTTCCTATGGCTTTCTCTTTCCTTCTTCCATCTCAAAAAACCAGAATATTATCTTGAACTCAATTGTAGTTATTTCCCAATTTCACCTTTGTGTGCAAAAGAAAGACTGAACAAAGGCTCTATAAAACCTATAGGGAAAGTACAGAGTGAGTCTTCCCATCTCTTAAAAAAAAAAAAATTGCAATAATGATAGATTTCAAAGATACTTTTCAGCCTCTGACATGTAACACTCAATATTAAGGCATCAATCACTTCTACCACCAAGCTCCTGTCATATACAGGATCTTACTGTTACCACTCACAACTTTTCAATTCTTTACATATGACAGTAAGTCCCATATTGTATGGATGAATTCTGGATTATCATGCAGATTTTGGAAGTTCAGTAGAATTAGGTCACTACACATTTCAGACTATAGTACCATTAAATAAACTGGGCCCAAAAAATGAAATGTATACAACACTTCAGCACGTAAAGTAATTTGTTCTTGGTTTGAGTGTAAGATTAGAAGGTAACTACAGAGCATTTAAGAATTTTGTTTCTAAATTTGACAAGAAACATCACACTTTCTCTTACTGGCCAATCCAACTCTCTCTGGTTGTCTCCTTTATACTTAATTTGTTTCCAGGAACAAATGTCCCCTTTTCAATAATAGTTGGTTGCTGAAGTACTATGAGACCATCTTTAAAATACATTCATTATAATTTCACCAGTAAGACCTCATCTTTGTCAGGTACATCTTTCCATACTTTACAAATATCCATTTATACAAAGTCTAGAACAGTTCAAAGTTGTTTTACTTGAGTTGTAGTCCTATCTCACTTTTATCATCTATGATAAGACTTGAGAAGAACATTTGAGATTATGCTATTCTAACTGGTCTAATATGTTAATCATAGCATTTTCTTTGATAATTAACTTTCTAAACATAATAAAGTGAGTCATAAAAATCCCTTGTTCAACATTTCATTTTTTTTCAAATGGTACCAAGTGTGCATTGAGTACTAGGATACAAAATAAAAGCCTGGTCCCTTACACTTATGAACTAAAAGTCTACTTAGGGGTACAGACAAGTAAGTGAAAATTAAAATGTAGTATGATACATATCCTGATACAGGTAACAATGAGGGCCTAAAAAAAATACTAGCATTGATAACCAAGTCTGCCATTCCACAAATTTAAATTCTATTTAAAGTGGACCTTAAGGACAACAGATTTTGTGTGGCAAAGAATCAAAAGTAGAGGGGGGTAACGGGGAAACATTGCAGATGAAGCCAAAACAAAAAAAAAAACATGTGCAAAAGGAAAACTCAGAAAAGGGAATTAAGTATTTATGGAAAGGTGACATGTTTCATGTGACTGAAGTACCACTCATCATTGCCAGGGTAGAAAATGACTCTTCCACATGTTTCAAAATGAACAAGAACAGCTTTTTCTTTTTCCATATATTATCTCAAATGTTTTTTTTTTTTTAAGATTTATTTATGTATATGAGAGCTGGGGTACAGGCCAGAGATGTGGGGGGTGAGAGGGCTCACCAGAGACAGAGTGGGGAACAGAACAGGCAGACTGACTGAAATACACTGCTGAGGGAAGCAGCAGGCGAGACCGGAGAGGTCTGCTTCGCCATGTGGGTTGCTCCCTGGCCAGCCAGGGATCGAACTCGTGCTGCAGAGGCTGCAATTGCTTCGTAGTGCGGTGCTTAACCCCTTGCGCCACCAGGGAGGCCCTATCGCAAATGTTTTTTAAGTTCAGTAAGTTCACATAGAAATTGCTAATGTTAATTTATTTATCTTTACTATATTCTGCCATATATCCTCATATAAAGTGACTAGTCAAATATAAACAGGAAAAAAAGGAATTCTTTCCCACAATTCCCCAACAGTATAAATTCACTATATCAAGTATAAGTAAATACAAGCAGAAACAGTTTAGAGAATGCATTTTCATAGAAAACAAGGCCCCTTTATTTCTACATTATTTTACTGAGGAATTCAAACAAGAATAATTAAATACATACCAAGTTTAAGCTAGACAGTGTTTTAGATAAATTAAGCAACAGCCTTTAGCCACTTGTTTTGGAAAATGAAGAATATATGCTAGAGATATCTATATATGCTAGAGAATATATGTTAGAGAAACACAGGTTGTTACCAACTCTAAGATAAAAGAATTTTTTGATATGCTTGATGCTTGTATCTACTAACTACAGACCAATCCTATGAAAGAGGGAAAGATCTGTAATCAAATGAAAGACCAGTCTATTATATAAATCAAAACATAAACAAGTTGAGGTACCAAAACTAATCTAATCACCCTATCCTACCCTATACCTTCCTTTGCATTAGGAAATGCCAAGTTCTAAGTGTTTACTCCTGATACATAACTTCCCTGTCCCATTCTTCCAGCACTTCCCTCAGCTCTACACAGCACTACAGTACTAGGCTCTCTCAGAAATGAAGCTGACAGATTGAGATGGCTTTTCAGAGGATATACAGAGACTAGGAAGGAAATCAAAATATGGCTGTCGGAATAAGGCAGTTACAGCTTGATTGACAACAATATATCAATAAGTGTTAACAGCCATTATCTCCTGAAAATTGATTTTTTTAAATTTCATCTCTAATTTTTGTTATTTCAAAATGTATACAGAAGCATCCTGATTGACAAGATATCACCAATTGTTAACAGCTATTATCTCTGCACAGTTCATTTACAATTAATTTTTAATCTGTATCTAATTTTTCTATAATGACATAGTGTTTTAAGCTTTATTTTATTAATTAGCACAAATAATTAGATAGATAATTAAATAATTAGTCAATTACTTAATTAGGCAGAAGAGCTGTGGGAGCTCTGAGAGAAAGCAAATGGAAATCACTGCTCTGAAGTACAGGTCATCTGTATAAAGAACTGTCTTCAGTAGATAGTGAGATAATGATAATTTTATTACTATGGTTCTCAGCCTGATAGTCTTCAGTACTTAGTATCAAATCTTATTAAAATGTTACTTAAAATAGCATATTCTACAAAAATAAAATCATAAAAAGGAATGACGTACTTTTGAATACATAGTTCTAGTTCTCACACACTTTATTTTGGACTAAAATTAATACATTCAGAAAGGAATTTATTGCTTGCATTTCTTTTTATAATGTTTATTCTAGCACTATTAATACATTAATGGTCACAACAATTACATTCACAGAGAAACAGTCCTAAAGATACTATATGTGAGAACTTTACCCCAAGAAAATAGCTCAAAAAACTTGCACCCTAAATCAAACTATACTTCTAGTCATTTTGAGACATAGAAGCAAAGACTGAAGTGACTACACTCTAAACTCAAGACAAATGAGACTTCATAGTGGCCAAAAAAGAAACTCAAAAAAAAACCATGAATACACACACTCACACAAACATCATAAGTACAAATAATGTTGAAAAGTTAACGTGAAATTGTGTTTTACCTGTTCAGAGAATAGGTTACACACATGATCCTAATCCATTTACTAATTTTATATTTCAGGCTACCTAAAAGAAGACAGCAATCTTAAATTTGGGTGCCAGCTTTTTATCTTTCTCGTGATCATTTACAACTTCAGAGTTCCCACCTTTCTGGTGTCATGGAGAAAGTCCAATACCTCACTCGCTCTGCTATAAGAAGAGCATCAACTATTGAAATGCCTCAGCAAGCTCGTCAAAATCTCCAGAACTTATTTGTCAATTTCTGTCTCATCTTAATATGCCTCTTGCTGATCTGCATCATCGTGATGCTTCTCTGAAGTTCTGCTGCAGCTTATCACCATCAGCTTAGTATCTGCCAGCCCATGAAGAGGGGAGACCATGTTATTACACAGACCACTTCCAAGCAAAAGAATGTCATTGTGAAAGATCAAGATTCGGGACAAAAATTGTTAGCAAATATGTTTATCTGCTGGATCTTGTAAACATGAAATGGTTTTATTATTTTTAAAAATTAACTTTTAAATGACTCTAATATGTGTGTATATTGTAACTTGTTGAGATTTTAAGTTTCCATCCCAAATCTATTCTGAGGATGAACTAGAGGTTTAGTTTTGAAATTTCATTGGTAACAAGTTCACTTCATATATAAAGCATTAGCATCACCCCTAGGGATAAATACAATTTAGACTGTACTGTAAAAGCTTCTTTGATATTATTTTCAGATCTTCATCAACTACCAACATAATCATTCAAATGAAGTGTCATCATTTGAAATAACGCTGACTTCTCATATCTGTTATCTTTATTATCACAAGGAAGTCTTTGTAGTAACTATCCGAGCCTAAATTCTAAAGTAGAAATTGTATTCTTTTTCTATACTACACTAACATGCTTGAAAGTATATTATTAGAATCAAGTAAGGCCATAAATAAATTTTCCCTTGACTTAATCTTGTCAAAGAATTACAGAATTCCAGTATGTATAGATAAAGCAGAAATCTGTTCTCACGGGGACATTAAGATCAATAGATGAGAACTGCTGGTCAATTTGACATCTGTGCTGTTATCATTATTACAAATACACTAACAGAACACAGTCAAACCTTAATTTAAGGCACAGTAGTTCATTATCTGAGTTAGAATATATAATTTGCCATGCTCTATCTTTGGAATCATGGAATCTTCAGATTTTTATAATAATTATATAGACTGTCTTCTCTTTCAACCTCATTCTCAGTGTAGGCAAGAAAAAGAAAAGAAAAATATATAATTTTAAGCACTAAAAAAGTAAAAATTTAAATCTCTCCAAAATTACTAATCCTTTGATATCAACTTTTTCTACCACTATTGTTTATGTTAGGATATAGCATTTTCTTAATCAGCCAAACAGTAAACATTTTTATGGTAGGCCACTCTACCTGATTACAGACCCAGCAATGCTACAATTATTTTCTTAATGAACACATTTTCAATTTCCCCTTTGGTCATTTAGAAATATCATCCAACAACTCATTAAGAAAAAAAGTAAAAATTGGTGTTGAAATACATATTCACCAAAATTTGGTAATTTGACTCAGTTTAAAATTAATTGTAAAATGACTTACACCTATACTGCCCCAAATTTAACTTGAAGAGTTTCAAAACATATTAATACTATAGTAATTGTTAATGTACTAAGCAACATGTAGTTTACTATGGAATTTGATAAAATATGGTTGCTAAAAGAATTTGAAAAGTTGAATATTGACTGTGATTTGTAACACAAGTGGTGCTAATAGAATAATAGAGACTTTGCTTTTGTAATTTTTGTGAGTCACTGAAAGTTAATGGAGAAAGGAGGGGAATAGTTTTGGCTCACCAATTTCTGGGGAACAGAGGAAAAAGGGGGTCTCATACTGACATGGTGATTTCTTAAGTGAAGTCTCATCTATGGACTAGAGATACCTACTAACAACTAAAAAGCTTAAAATAACAAGTGACACATTTACTTACTGATGTTGGTAATTACCCATGCCAAAAAAAAAAAAAAGTTCTATAATAAGCTAAGATCTTAAAGTAGAACATTTGAAATAAATTTTATTCTTTTCATTACATTGTTTATCTCAACTTGAAATTAGAAACTATGAAGTTATGTGGTTTTTCCTAATAAAACAGAAATAATAATTTTCATTGTCTTTAATAGAAATTAAAAATGTGTACATAAGAATTACAAAACACTGTAAATCAGATTATAATGTAGAAAAATCCATTCTTTTAATGGAGCTTATCTATTTTGTTTATTACAATATGTAATGGGTAAAATGTAAGAAAATAATGTATTAGATAATCTTAAATAACAAATGCTCAAGTACTTTCTACAGTAAAATAAATTCTAGTCAATTTACAGAGCTACTAAAAGTTAACTAATTTTTAAATACTTAAATGCTGTTTTTCAGGATAAAAATGTCTATTTGTTCAGTGCACTCACCGATATATCAACATGAACTGTCAGTGAACCTGTGAAAATGCACTATAATATACTCATGATTGATAATGACCATAAAAGAATCTAAGTAACTCTGATTTTGTTGATGTTTTCAGTGACTTTCCCCAAATAAGGTAATATCAAGATTTCCTAATACAGACACAAGAGGGCAGATCTATATTATACAATGAGTTTCTTATTACCTAAAGATTCTTATCCTTTGAATATTTTTGAGTCTCCTGGCATCGTGAGAAAATGATAAATCTTCAAAAGAAATTTACTTTCTCTAATATCAGCACACTTCAAAATGTCTAAAAATTATATTCCAATGAACTATAAGAAAAGCTGACAGATGAAAAGTCAAATGCATTACTGATTTATTAGCAACATGTGTCATGATGTCATTGCCTGTCTGTGAAGGTATCACAGTGTCTATATTTTTCAGTGCACATTTACAGCATCTTAAGTGGGGGAGAGAGAGACAAAATGGTATAAAAAATAAGAATAAAGATAAGAAAATTTCTTTTCAGAGGATGTTACAATAATAAAAAATGCTTTACATTAGAAATAAAACTCATTCTGATGTTAAACAAAAACCAAGTTATTTGACTATGTAATCATTAAATTGTATAGTTTTGATTTATGTAAGAGAAACTGTTCAGTATAATATGTTGCAATCATTAGGTGTCAGTATCTTGACTGATCAAGCATCTCCATGACATAAACAAACACAAAAATTTATCTTCTTCTTTTTAACGACCATGACCCAGAACTTAGAAACATACTACGAAATATAAGAAACAAGAGGATAAACAACTTAGTCAATAAAGAGCCCACTTCCTCGCTGTTGTCTGGGAGAGCCATCTTGAGTTTAAAGGAGTCCAGCAGATACTGTTATGTGCACTTAAACTCTTCCCTTACCCCACTCCCCCAAAAACAGAAATGCAAGAAGGTCATAGAAAGAAATATATTCTTTCCAAAGAAAAGACAACAGTTGTGTTTGTTTTTCAAATAGGTCAGATAGCTTTTGAAGAAGGTGGGGGGAGAGGGGTGATGTAGAACAGAGGAATGAACCAGAGAGTGGTGGACCCTGCATTTGCAGGCCTGTATCTACCAACTGAGAACACAGCGGCTTCTCTTTATTCACAGAGAAAAACACAACTATACTACCTGCACGCTGGGTGATCTAGTGGGGAACTATGGTACAAGGAATACCATGTACATAAAACTGAGGCTGGTTTAATAATTATTGAGGTGGCATGGCAGACCTCTCCTGTCTCGCCCGCTGCTCCCCTCAGCTGTGTGTTACAGTGGATCTGCCTGTTCTGCTCCCCACTCTGTCTCTGGTGAATCCTCTCACCCTCCCGCACATCTGGCCTATACCCCGGTTCTTGTGTGCATGAAAAAATTAAAAAAAAAAAAAAAAACTTCGTTAAATTAAAAAAATAATAATAATAATTATTGAGGACTGAGTCCTAAAAAGAGCAAAACTTCCATGGTACAGTATTAACTTTCTGAGGGAGAGAAAGGGAGAGGGGGCAAGGCAGCTGTTAAGAACAAATGATATAAAACACTGTTGAGAGTTACAAAGTTCTACATAAATCTATGATGGTTAAGATTGTGACTCTCGGCCAAATTGCTTAGTTGTAAAAGAGTTGTTTTCTTTTCATGGTGAGAGTTTAACAGTTGTGCCTGAAAATCACATATGTTCTCATAATTTATCAGATGAACTCGTTTTTATTAAGGCTTTCCCTTTATATAAAAATTAGACTAAAAGGAAGCCAATGTTTTAAAGAAATAATTAAGAAATAGCTAAGAAGAGTACTTCCAAGATTCTACTTGGAAGTTCCAGGAAGAAGCTATTTAAGATGTTTTTTTTTCCTATTATAGTCTAAGAAGGGAATTAGAAAAGAAGTCATTTAAATATTGCAATTGTAAGTTTTCTTTACCTGGTTTCATCTTTCCACTTTAAAACTTAAAAGCACTACAAACAGACCATCCCAAAAAAGGTTAAATCAGAAAGTAGTTTCTTTCCAGGTTTTATGCAATTTCTGTTAATTACTAGCTTTTTCTTCTATACTTTGTACTGGAAAGAATATTTAAAACCAAGTTTTATTCCACAATGCAGCTTCTCTATATTGATTTAAGGCTGGAGAAAACTTTTTTGCAGCAAAAGTTCCTCCAAGCAGAATGAAAATATTTAGTACCTATGTTTTATATTCACCCAATATCATGACTTTACCTTTCTATTGTGGTACCTACTTCAGCCTGGAGTAGAATACTCTGCCCCCTCTGAGAACTCCAATTAGGCATAAAGATACCATCAGAAAAAACAACTACCTGATCTCTGTCTTCTGATAATCATAAGCATATGAGATCATTTAAAATATGGTAATATTTGAAAAATTAGGTTTCCTATGTTTAAATCATTTGAATTAACAACACAAATCTGGTTAAATTCCTCTTTTCTAATTTGTAATTCAGATATCATAATGATGTTACCTGGTTATATGGTTTAAAAGTACTTAAGGTATAAGCACTGTGTCCGGGGGAAAAAAAAAAAAGTCAAGCAGGCACATGGGTAGGTTAAGGGTTTTCCTGTGAATATAGCACAAGTTTGTACATGTGTTTTCACACTGTGTAAGATTTAGAGGTTCCTGGATTTTCTTAACCTTTTATAAAATAATCCTTATTGCTTTTTATTATGGGTAAAAATGAATAGTAATTTTAACTTTTTATACTAGAGAAGTTTTTATAACTGAAAGAATATGCTTCAGAAAATTTTAATTAAAAAATGGATGACAGGATTTATAAAACAATTCTACACATACTAGTTTTCCAGTTAAAATGATCTGTAGAAAATTATTAGAATAAAAACATTTGCAAATCAAGACTATTACATATTTACATGGTTCATTAGTAGATACAAACTATTTTCTTTATATACAGTATTATCATAGAATGTTTTCCTAAAACTGATTAACAAAAAAATCTTGATACCTGCTTTAACTTTAAAAAGTAAGCACATCTATTTTTTAGGCCTAAACACACAGCAACCATTACAAAAACTTTATAAATCACTTCAGTTCTACCTCCTCATCTTACAGATGAAGACCCAGAGAAATTAAGTGATGGGGGGCCTCCCTGGTGGCACAAGGGGTTAAGTCACAGCACTATGAGGATCTCCACAGCCACTGCAACATGAGTTCCACCCCCAGCCAGGGAGGTGACCCACATGGCACAGCAGATCTCTCCTGACTTGCCCACTGCTCGCCTCAGCAGTGTATTTCGGTCAATCTGCCTGTTCTGTTCCCCACTCTGTCTCTGGTTAATTCTCTTATCCACACACACCTCTGCCCTGTACCCCAGTTCTTGTATGCATAAATAAAAAAAAATCTTAAAAAAAAAAAAAAAAGAAAGTGATAGGTAGAGAATCATTCAGGTTCTGAAATTGAAATAACTAGAAATAAATCCAAAACCTCATACTCCCAAGTTAATGTTCTATCATGCCAGCTCCTTTGTTTCTATTTAAATTTCCTTAGATCGCATGTTTTGTTTTGTCTGTCTCTAAGCCCATTTAACAAATGAGTAGGAAATAATAACCAATTAGGTACAAGGCTTTATGTTTTTCATGTTAATTAGTCTCAAATGCTTTTAGTTTACTGATGTAATATTTTTCAGGTTTATAATATTTATGCTTATTAACCCACAGAGGAAAGGAAAAGATCTGTCTGAACAAACACACTGTCATATGCTCACTGCACTTGTGCTACCATACTCAGAACATCCACTGGGGGGAAGCAAGCACTAGATTTTGAGCCTTACCTGAACTGGTGTTTCACTTTCTTGTCGAAACTCTTCAATTTGCTGCTGCTGCTGCTGCTGCTGCTGCCAAGGAGTTAAACTGAATGAGTCCTCTGTAGTTCTACCTTCCAAAGGGTTTGTCCGCAACTGCTCTGTAAGCCACATCTGTGTCCTCACAGAAGGCTGAATGGGAACTCCACTGACTGCCTGCTGACCAAGCATTAAATATTTTGGAGGTTCTAAAGCCTCTGAGTTTGTCATAATGGGTTTGCTTTCAGGTAAGGCACTGTATGTCATGTCTACAGTCTGTCTTCTAAGACTGGAGGAAGAAGTTCTAAAGTCCTCTTTGTTATAGCTCTCAAATTTGTATTTGTAATCCAGTATTGATGATCGTTTTCTACTTATTTCCTTGTCCTCAAGTTTAAGCATCTCCATACTATCATGTAAGCAGCTAGACCCAATTGTCCTCAGTTGTGATGGTAGAGTCTTGCCTCTCTCTATCTTTTCCAAACCACTCCTTGACTCTTCTGTGTGCACAATGCCACCCTGGCTGCAGTTATCTGGGGCACTGAGTTTGGATAAAGATGACCATTTCCGGAGGGGCCGAAAGTCCTTCATGTCTAATGGTGAGTCCTGCTCCCCCCTACTGTGGTTTCCCAATGTTTGCATGAGGCTTGTACTCCATTTTGACCCATCTGATGTCAATGACTCCCTGTGTTTGGAAACTGAAGCGCTGGAGTTGGACGGCATAACATGGGCAGTAGGAAGAGTAATCAATGATCGACTAGGCTTAAAAGATAATGTGCCACTTGATGTTGAATGATCTGAGAAGAGAAAAGAATGCCAAATTAGTTACAATTATGGGGGGTGGGGGGGCTAAATGCTAAGGCAAAATCTGAACATGGTCTCCCAGCACATTTTTCAAAAGAAGCATTTTATCAACATGAGGGACTTATTATTACCATACTTTAAAAAGTGTTTTTATGAAACAAACCAAATATACTTTCAAACATTTGTCTAAAAATGGACACAAAATATATGCCCATTTGCCATCTAATGAACAGATAAAAAATGACTAGAAAACAGGGTAATATTCACCCTATTAAGTCTAAGTATTTTGCCATTAAAAGAAAAATTTATTTCCTTACTAAGAGATCTTACTTATCAGAAAATATTGTTTTTCTGTTTTTCCTGAACTGTGGGAACCTATATCAAATCTGAACATTTCAGCAATTCTCTAAATGCTAATTCTAATCAGAAATAAAGGAGCATCTGTAATAATGGGAAATAATCAGAAAGAAATCCAGCAATATATTTGCAGATAAAAAGTAGGTCCTAACTTCCCAGTGTCCCTTAATTGCATGATCAGTAATCTCTTTCCCAAGTTAGAAATCTTGGAATCTACAATGATTCCTATCTTTCTCTGTACATTCACTAAATTCTCAAATTAAAATTTTTCACTTGTAAAATGATTACACACTTATGCCTTAGGCTAGGTCTCCACTATTACCATTTTCTACACACAGGAAGAGTTTTAGTAGGCCCTATGGAAGCTCAAAAGATAAATAAAGGCCTCTACAGTCAATGAAATTATCATCAAGAGCCAAATTGTCATTAAATGCACCAAATTAAAATCAAAGGTTATAACTTTTTACTTTTAAATTAATTGCTTTTCCTTCCAATAGCATCAGGAAATGGTACTTGCCTCCATTCGGCCTTCAGGCCTCCAATCACATTTATAATAACAACCAGAGTTTTCTATTTGCAATGCTGATTAGTTCTCAACAATATTAAAACCCAATTTAAAAGAGTTTTGATGAGGAGGCAGCAAGAGTGAACATAACTGGTGCATCTCTATTTGCTTTCCTTCTTGCCTGACCTGGGGTCTCTTTCATGAATCATTATCATTGGCTCGTTCCACAGGATAAGTGTAGTATTTCAAGTCATTTGGGGCTAAATATGCACTAGGATTTTATTGCCAAGGCCAGATATATTCCAGGATTTTAAATGCTGGCTTATGTCATTTGTGAGTTTTTACTACTGAGGAAAAAGAACATGGAGAAAGGTAACAGCAATTTGGGGGGGGGGAGGGAGCGAGAAAGGGGAAGAGGTGAAAGGCAACTTTCAGTTTATTCTATATCTCTGAATACTGTATGACCCGCACTAAAATATATTAAGCATTACTTGTTGATTTTTATACTGTTTTAAAAAGTAATGAGAAAAGAAATACTGAGAAAATCAATCGAAAATTCACATGAAAATAAGCCAGACACACTAATATAAAAAAATGGAATTCTGATAGATTTTTTGCCAGAATCTATTCACTCAGAGATGAAAAGCAAAAACCTTTAGGGATGGAGGAATATAAGCAGAAGCACATTAGTAGACATTTATCATAGTCAAGCTTCTCCTTGGCTTCTGCGAAACATTTTCATATTCAGAAATATTCCCACATTATAAGCCTAATCTAGCAAAAGGTATTTAGACCTCAAATTCCCTCAGAGGACATATAAATATGACACAGATAATCAGAAACACCTGCACAAGATTTTAGTTTGGAACTGAGTCCCTTAAGGACAGGGACTCTGGGTGAAGTTACCATTTTTGGATGGAACAGGCAACAGCAGAGGCATCAGCCTCCAAAAGGGCAGCAGCAGAGAAAGCAAAATCAAGTTCCTGCCCAGACAGAAGCAGTTGGGCAGCTGGTGGCTTCTTCCAGCACTTGGGACCAGAAAGTGACAGTTCTCAGAGGTTATCTGATGCATATTACCTAGAAACTTAACCATAAACCCGGTTCTCCGAACCTTCTCAAAGTTTCTGTGAGGTACCGAATACCTTTAAATAATTTCTTCATCTGCTCAATCAGCCAGTGAGTTTCTTCTGCTAACTAAGAACACTAATTGATCCAAGCATGAATCCATGAGAATGAGGCTCCAAAAGAAAAACAAATTTTCCTGTTTATCTGCAATGTGAAAAAGTTGCTCATGATATCCTGAAAGGTAAAGATGAAGCTGCAATGTACAAATCATAAAACACCCTGTTAAGGAAAAAGCCTGGCCTTCATTCAGCAAGAAATGTGGTTACAGAAAGTTTCCAAACAAGGAGTGAGTGATACAATCAAAACTGTGCTTCCAGTGTTTAGAGTGGATTAAGGCAAAACGAATGGCAACAGGAAGGTAACAGACGTCCATGGTGATCAATGGAAGAAGAAAAAGGAGGAATGTGCTACTGAAGGCAAGTCCTAAAATGTCCTGAAAAGTCTATTCAACAGTTGCACTAATGTGCTACAGCATTTTATCTATGTTTATATACATATGTTTTTACTATTACTAACAACATATTAGTTCTATTTAAAAAAATTATTTCAATAGACTATGATCATTTTAATACAAACAAAAGACATGTTTTATATCTAAATTGAAATTTTCAGGTTTTTACATTTAACAACATGTCTAAGTAACATTTCTGGTACAGTGTAAAGGTTAAGTCTAATATGGTGGTCAGCCTTTTTAAATTCAAATCTTGGCTCTATCACTTAGCAGTTGTATGTGCTCAAACAGGTTATTTACCCTTAAGCATCAGCTACCTCACCAACAAGTGGAAATAAAAAGAGTGAGGATTAAATGAAATATACATAAAAGACTCAAAAGAATTCCTGGCATAAAGCAAAATATTAGTTATTATTACACCAGTGAAAAGACTAAAAGTAAACACTATTTTCAATATAATAGAAAAAAGGCTAAATAGCCATACTATACAAAGAGCTCCAACAAATAAACAGCAACAACCTACTTTTAAAATAGGAAAATCAAGAATCACATTATGACACAAGACATGCAAATAGAAAATATGTTTTTAAAATGCTCAAATTCACTAATCGTAAAAGTGCATTTCCTATCATATTCAAAACATGATTAAAGGCTGCTAATATCCCACCATGGGGAACATAAATTATTAAAGCCTTCGGAAGAATGGGTGCACTTTTGTATATATCAATGTTTAAAACATGCAAATATGTACGTGACTACAAATACCGATGCACATGTGTGTAAGTACATATATATTCATAAGCAGAGAAATGATCTTGAAGAATACACCCAAAACTTAATAAATGAAGGTAACTCTTGCACAATGAAAGTGGGATAAAGGAAAAAGATGCTTTTGCATTTTACTTTATATCTTATTTTAACTTGCTTTCAAGGAATATAACTTTACTAATTAGTCTAACTTATACAAAGTTTGAAAGAAAAAAAAAAACTGCTATTTTCTGTAGCCGCAAAGAGTTTTAAATTTCTCAAAGGACACTATTACTAAAGTCTAAATAATATATCAGGTGACTGTCTCACTTTTCATGTCACAACTGAAACCTTTTGAGACCAGACACAGCCAGTCTGGCTGCCACATATGTCTTGATAATACACTACTTTCCTGTCTACCTTTGCAAATTTAATACTCCCCAACTGTATAGAAAATCAAAAATTGATGACAAAGATAAATTCCACATCAGTCTAGTATTTACTCCAAAAATTCTGAAAGTAGCTGATACATGCTTTTCACAAAACATTACAATGACCAGAGTACTTACTCCTGAAAGTTTTCTTATCAGAAGTTCTCAAACTTTAGCATACAAAAATGTTACCTGAGATCTGGAGTAGCATGGGATCCAGTAATGTCATTTTTTAACAAATGATTCTGCTGCTCTATTCACTACATTCCTCCTGGGTCTAACTCCAGTTCTGAAGCTTTCAAGCTTAAGTATCCCTAAGATGAACCATTACCAGCATCTGAGTGCTTGTGTAAAAACTGATTTACTCTGATATTCAGAATTTATCACTATCAAAACTAAAGATTAAGATTTAGTTATACACGTGCACATGCACACATTTGCACATGAATTAATTAACAAGGAGTTAAATACTTGATAATGAGTATCTGAAAAAAGAATCATTGTATCTGAGTTGAGTACAGAAAATAATTTCAACATTAAAAATGTTATTTTACCCTAACAAGATGTTCAATTATAAATAAATGTGCTTTATTATACTACATAATTGTAGCCACAAATTCCAAATGCAAGTTATTATGATGGCATCTAGTCCATATATAAGTTGCACAATGAAATCTGAAACCAGCAGAAGACAGTCCTTTTGAAATCCAGAGGATAAGATCCATAGCATTCAAAGACAGTGTATCAATAGAAGAGCTGATGGTTTTAAACAAATTTCAACTTGTAAGAGAAGGCACTACTATAACCTGATAATGAAACTGAATTATATTTAAGATAACTTATTTTTTAATTCTGAATAAAATCCCTACTTCTGCTTCACTGTCATATTCATTCTTATCCATTAAGAGGAGTCTAACTGATTCTATGTTCACATATGTAGGAATAGTGAGGCTCCTACACCCACTCTCTTTCAAGATCTTACTCCCGCCTTCTCCCATCCTCCCTATAATAAAAAAGAATTAAATTCAATCAGATCACACCTATAAATCTATACAACAACAAATCACAAGCCTTTACAGTTAAAAAAAAATTAGACACTTTCAAAGAATACACAAATGGCCTGTATATAACCCTGTATCAAAAAATTCTGATTTAAAGTATAAGTTTAAAATATTTACCCTCATAAATATAAAAATATTTTACATTTTTAAATAAAAAATGTTAACCCTAGCCCAAAGGCAATAATATAGTTTTATACAACATCACAGTAATTTTTGCTCTTCAAACTAATGTCATGATCAAATCATAGCATGTGGGTGGAAAATCATTTTTATGCCACATGCATCCATTTTCTCAAAAGATTCATGAACAATTTTA